CCATCATCATCATCATCACCAGCATCGTCAGCATCATAATCATCATCACCACTATCATCGTCGTCGTCGTCGTCGTCGTCGTCGTCGTCATCATCATCATCCTCATTCTCATCATTATCGTCGTTGTCGTCATCATTATCATCGTCGTCGTCGTTGTTGTCAGTCTCCAGCTGGTGTTTCTATCTGCTATGTACTGATCATGAAGCCGTGTAGATTGCTCGCCAGCAGGCAGCAGTCGCCGGTTATTCGTCGCGCGGAGACCCGTGGCGGCTCACGCACTCCATCGCGACTCCAACGAAAAACCCACAGCAACGCCGCACAGATGAAACCGACGCGAGCACGTGGCGGCAAGCGTGACCCTGGCTTGCTGGGACAGTAAATCGGTAATTCGCAGGCGATATATAGGCTACCGGGTGGTGGGAGGGTTGTGCCCCGCGGCGGAGCAAGCTCGCATGCGGTCCCCCCCTCCCCCGGGAGCGGTAAACGCTGCGGGGCGTCGCAGGTCAAGGCTGGCTCACTAAATGAGGCTGACAGGAGATGCGAACAGATCTGAGGCTGCTGCTTGGGAGAGAGCGCCGTGATACGATCTGGACGGCGGGCTGCTCGTCCAGGCAGCGCGCCGATGCATGCCAGTGACATCTGGCGAGAAAAATCTGGCGAGGTTAAGACCAGCGGTCTGTCGGCGTTGCGGATGAGGGAATTGGACAGAAGGATGTGAATAAAGGAGGAAGCGAGAGGCGCTGGAGCGTTGACGAGGAAGGAGGGAAGAAGAAGGGGAGTGGGAATATGGGGAGAGCACGAAGTTGAGAGGCAGCCGCATCATTACGTCAATATACTTGAATAAAAACTCCTTACACGTACAATGACGTCATAATATCAGGAGTAAGATAATATAGGAATATTCTATATTATCTTACTCCTGATAATATGCATTTAACGTCGTATTATAGCTGCGACGTTTTGGTGTATTTATAGATACCCTACAGCGCACTGTGCATGTAGATAGCTACGAGTTTACAATGACGTCATTATCGCTTGCAGAAGATGTCGATATTAATGTCTCTCTCTCTCTCTCTATCTCTCTCTCGTCATTGCTTGCAGCCTGTCAATGTGCCGTACACAAGAAATGTCATTCAAAGATCCTCGGGAACTGTCCGGGCTCCTGTAAGGATTCCTCTGACACTCAGGTATCATCAGTGTGCATCTGCTGTGTGTCTCTAGTATAGTGTCTATAGTTACCTCCGCCAAGGAGGTTACGTTTTCGCCCATGGTAGTTAGTTTGTTGGTTTGTTTGTCTGTCAACGGGATATCTCAAAAAGTTACGGACGGATTTTGATGAAATTTTTTGGACGGGTTGGTCTTGGGCAAAGCACCAATCGATTAGATTTTGGTGCTGATCCGGATCCAGATCTGGATCCATGATTTTTATTGTGGGGAAGACTTCGGACGCATTCAAAATTCCTCAAGAAAACAAAAACAAAACCTAGATCATTTTTTTCTTCAAATTTCTGAAAATTTCATCAAACTCTATATTGGGTGTACCAGCAAGATGGGCTGTTACGCTGTGGCGGAGGTTTGCTATCTCTGATTGCTCTAGTTAGCCTAGCGATCTGCTAATTAACTACCGCGTGTCAAGCTGTCGTTGTTATCGCTGCACAGAACATCGCGGCAGGAAAATCTCATGGTGTTGATATCATAGGATTGTTCTTACTCCTGGTGTTGTTGCTGTTGCTGTTGTTGTTGTTGCTGCTGCTGCTGCCACCGCTGCTGCTGCTGCCACCGCTGCTGCTGCTGGTTGTCGTTGTTAATATTGTTTTTATTGTTGTTATTGTTCTTATTATTAATGGTCATTTTATTGTTATTTCTGTTGTTATTGGTGATGATGATGATGATGATGATGATGATGATGATGACGACGATGACGATTGTTCTGATGATAGTAATGACGATGACGATGATAACGACGTTGTTGTTGCTGTTTACAGTACCTGAAAGAGCGATTTAAAATCGACGTTCCGCACCGCTTCCAGCCGCACAACTACATGCACCCGACATTCTGTGATCACTGTGGCTCACTGCTCTACGGCTTATTCAGACAGGGACTCAAGTGTGAGGGTAGGTCGCACCCACCGCCAGGAGGCGCCACCCTGCCTGTCACGCGCACCAGCAGAGGGCGCCTTCTTGTCTAGGTCGCCGTCACGCGCACCAGCAGGGGGCGCCTTCTTGTCTAGGTCTACTGTCACTGCTATTTGTTAACGAACGTTGTTGCGGATGCGTTATTGCACTGTCGGCTTCACGCTCGCATTGGTACTGTAGCCACGCACACCAGGTGGCACTGCCTGATGGCAGGTTATACCTATCAATCATACACCTGCTGTATTGTAACTAAGTTATGTGCTAAATAAAGAATCTGAATCTGAATCTGAATGGCGAGGGCGTAGCGACAGAGTCAGTCTGATGGGATTCCAGCGTCGACACGACTAACGCGCTGTTTGCTCGTGTCTCTGATCTACAGAGTGCGGTCAGAACTGCCACTTCAAGTGCCAGAAGCTGATGCCGAACCTATGTGGAGTTAATCAGAAGCTGCTATCGGAGGCGCTCTCTAGCGTCAAGATTGGCCGCATCTCGACACCAAGGACGGGCAAGCCGACACAGAAAGGCAACGCTAAGGACAGGGTATGTCCGCGCACGAGGCCTGGCTCTATGCTATGGGATTCGCTGGGTTAATTATAAAACACAATAATTATACCTCAATAATAATATACCTGCAATAGTGCAGGAATTTATTAATAAAATTAAATAAAAAATTGATAAGAAAATAAATATGGTCACGATAGTAACGAGCGAGCATAGGACAATGTATATATGTTATACGTGCACGGGTGTGTATTGTATTACAGTGGTCCCCGCTTAACCGGGACACGACAGGAACCGTGAAAATGTCCCGGTTAAGTAATGGCCCTGGTTAAGCGATGAATACGTAACAACGTGCGTAAGGATGGTTTTCTCAAAGACACGTGTTGTTTAAGAGATGAGCCCGTCTATCTGAGACTCACAAAAGCACGGGGATTACCGCGCTTGCATACTGCTATACATCATATGCACATGATAGGGTCTTTATAGCAGTTGTTTGATTGCCAAATTGCGCTATGATGCCGGTAGTTGTTACAGTTTGCGTTGACAAGAGTGCTACCGTGTGTGTGTCTGTGTGTGTGTGTGTGTGTGTGTGTGTGTGTGTGTGTGTGTGTGTGTGTGTGTGTGTGTGTGTGTGTGTGTGTGTGTGTGTGTGTGTGTGTGTGTGTAGTGTGT